GCAAGGCCGGATCTGCGAGCGCTTGGCTTTCTTTCATGTTGTAAGCAACCATATCAGACGTTGATACATGAAATTATAGTCTCTAAGAGAACATTAGTCCGCTGTAGCTGTTCATGTGTTTTGCAGGCTCTCTTATATTCCAGCTTTACCTGTATACAACACACTTTTGTAGTCATGGAGATAAAATTCTTCTCTTCCTTGCAGCCATGAACATCTGCGAGGAATATCTATTCCACCTATCGAACCGCAAGAAGTGAAGTAAACATTCGGACGATCATTCATCGCGAACCAAAGAATGTAGCGCGTTGCACATGCTTGGGTTGTTGATATTTCATCCCTAGATATATCACTGTAGCAATCTCACGTAGCATTTCCATTTTTAATGCATTTCCCTTATCGAGTATGGTGGGCAGGCAAATGCTGCTATAGCAACAAGTCGTCGACAACCACGTATAAGTTTCCGAGAATTAACTAGTTAACTATGCACAGCTATCTTAGATAAGCCCATGAGTCACCGGAAATGTCAGTCCAGATTATAGTTACATATTTAGCGTTATATTATTTATGGTACCCAATCACATCGAGCTAGACTACATATGGATAGTAACTCTTGTGAGTTAAGAGGTGGTTGCTCAATAATCTTATTATACTAAGGCTTTGGCAGTGGCATGGCAAAAGGATTGTCAAAAGTATTTATGGACCAATAAGCTAAGGGTCCACATCCTTCCAACATGACATCTTTGCTGAACTATCTGTCTATCGATTGAAAGCCCCCTCCGTTCCACCACTGTTGTTATCCGAAGAATGCATCATGGACGAAGCTAGTCTGGGGCATTAGAATGGCGGACAAACGTTGAAGGGCTCGCACTGCCTTCTTGCCAAGCTGGTGTCTGGCTTCCTTGGCAGCTTCATCTAGTTCACGCCCCTCCTTTCCAGCAAGGGCCTTGCTATGAGATCAGCTTCAAAATTCCAAGAAGACTGTTTTTCGAACTCACCGCATCATTCTGCCAGCGCTGGAGCATAGTACTTAACGAGTGCGGCTTATCCAGTGCCTCCGCTGTCGAATCAAGGTAAGCTGTAAATAAATTCCACTCTTCTGTATCGCCGGAGCCATCGCTCTCATACGGTGCGAGATGAGAAAGGAGATTTTGATACTCAAAAAAAGACATCCCCTCCGGTCTCGCCAGATTTGGATATTCTGCCGATCCCGCCTTACGCAGCAAGGCTTCAAACTCTTCGCTAAGCCGATTCGACTCATCGTAGACCCCGTCGCGCTTATCCATCCATTTCCCAAGGGTGACTTTCCATTGAAGGACCAGTCGTTCGACTCCTCCAGGTACAAGGTAAATGCCGCTTAGGACGACATTTCCCGCTTTGAGGCCCCGAAGCTTCCAGGTGTTGCGGGTCAACGGCTGGATTCGATCTAGGAAATCTGCTTGGGAGAAATCGGCGATTTTCTCGAAATAATATATATGGTAATAGTCTGATAGATATTATTATCTCTCCCCATTGAACGCTAGTCATAGGGTTGGTCTTTTACGACTCACCAGCTGACGATCTGTACCGTCCACCATAACTCATTGCAGGGTTTAACGAAAGACGTAAATCGCCGGGCCATATATTATTTCCACAGATGGGAAGTTTGCATTTGGCTCCTCTAGAGTCAGGCGCCGTCTCGATACTGTAAAGAATAAAGGCTGTGTTTGCGGTGTATTGGATGGCGGATCACCGGGTTTTGGGCCGAGCCCAAGATGCTGACGTAGTCGTCTTCTCTCGATGTCCAACGCATCATCATATCGATCTGGCTTACTAGCACAATCTTTTCCAATAACCACAGGGTCGTACATGGTGGTTGTGTAAGGGTGGATGTAATGAAAGAAAATATCGTTAATATCCGTTTAACACAGCAGAGAAGAACTCGCTCAGCAATTTCCAAGGCAAATGTATGTAGAGCAAATAATCCAGGAAATACTCTTCAACGAGGACTACAAAAAGCGTGAGAGCATACCTATCGAGGCAGCAGGTTCTGTATACTTATACGCCCTACAGCAAGGTGTATATGTTCTTTTATGTGGCAATTAGAACAGGTTTGGAATGGTTAAAGGCTGACTGAGAGAGCCTGGCTGAGACTTCTTAGTCTCCCTGAGAGCCAAAGGGCCTGAATGTTGTTCCCTACATATTTAGTAATGTGGAGAGTTCTCTATCGACGATTGGTAGGCCGACTTTGGGAACATCTGGCTGAGGCTCGCTGTGGACCAGTCGGGAAATGTACTCACACCTAGTACGTTTTAGCCACTGATTGGCCGCATAGAAAGAAACGAGGCCCATTTGCTTATGGTCACCCTGAAAGGAGTCATCCTCAACAAAACTATCCTTGTGATAATAACTGAACCTAGGCATATTTACCAAGACATCAGGGCCGACATATTCATTGATCCTACGACAACGCGCTCTAATGGCTGTCCTTGTGGCAACTCGGTATAGAATTTGTTAAGGCCAGGTTGAAAGAGCCTCGTTGAGATTTAATGAGGAACAAAAAGGTTCGAATGTCTTACCCGCATCTTAGATGTGGGGAGTCCTTTAACGATTGGTAGGCTGGCTTACTTTGGAAACCATCTCGCTGTGGCTCGCTGTGGATCAATTCGGGACCCACAGATGATAAGAAATGATTAGCCCTCACCCAGCAAATGCCCCAAAATGTTGTCAGCGACTCAGTCCTCTTCCGGAGGGAAACAAAAAGCAGAAGGGAGAAGATAAAAAGAAAAGGCTACTGGAGAAGAATACATCTGTCTATATCTAATTCACGGGGTAGACTAAGAATGCTATTGTGAAGCTACTTGAATAGAAAGCTGCATTTGATGACAATTCGATGGTTGCAATATTTCATGAACTACCGATTTTGGTTAGCGCCGATGTCTGATCTCATGAATGCCACGTCACATCCCATCTTTGTCTCGAAGATATATATTTTGGTCTTAATAACTGTGTCTGAGTTCAAGAACAGTTCATATCATTGATACTCAGTACATCCCTCTTCGTCCTTTTACAACTGAGATTTTGTGTTTGATTTGAACTCCTATGGCGTCACCAAAATACTACGCGGTTGCTCAAGGACGCCCTCCTGCCCCAGACATTTTTTTGTCTTGGTAATTATACGCTACTACTTAGGAGGGCAATTAACCCCGCAGTGTCTACTCTTGCTGACAGTATATTATAGGGATGAGACGAAATGTTTAGTCAACAAGCATCCACGCTCAATTTTCAAGGGCTTCTCAACCCTTGAAGAAGCGACAGCCTACTTGGCCGAGAACGGTATTCCAGAACACCAGAGAGTAATTCGAGGCATCTCCATGGACGGAGGACAAGCATGAATATTCGTTTCTGGTACAATGTGCTTTGGCGGGCTGCTTGCTCATGTGGAAATATGCGTGACCACCAGACCTCGTATAGTAGTAGTTCCTGATACTATGCAGTTCCCTATTAGCAACACCCATAACAAATTGGTATTGCTACCATCGTAGATAACTGCCTTCAGTGTCTTCAACCATAATTGTTCTCACTGGCATCATCTTACGTACTCCACAAATAATATACTGATAGACTAATATCAATATCCAACTAATATTTATGCCAATACTGTGCAGGGCACTTTTTCTCGCAATTGATTTTAATAAAGAAATTGCAGAATAGTCCCAAAATATAACGTGCATCAACTATCGGGCTAATACTACCAGAACAGGATTTTTTACCATACGTATATTACATCCATCCTCTGTGCTATGACATGCAATGGTGCCTTATTGTTTGAGTCCAATTAAGTCGTGAGCGTTGGATCCCTGTTACTGCAGGATGGTCAAATCCTTCCAATTGGTGATTGGCCACTTATACAGAGCCACGTTATGGAATGATGAGGGGCACTGATTTAATCGGAACTGGTGAATGTCGAATTTCCTCAGGTGTCTATTTCCCTACAAAATTTATCGGGTCCTGACAATCCGGATCCTCTGGCTTTCTCGAAATTTCAAATAACGCCATGAATGAGACAACACTTGTTGTTGACAGTGAGGGCGAGGTTATTATAATTTTGATATGTCCAAGCTACCCCTTTGCACCCTGGAGTGAAGGAAAGACGGAAGACGAATTGTTAAAGCCTCTTGCAGCTGAGCAGAAACTCGGCGCTACCAATGACACTGCTCCCGAAAAGTCTCACAAAACAAATGCAAAAAGAACGAAGAAGTATAAAAAGAAACGAAAACAGCAAATTACAAATCCCGCCCCGCCTGATACTGGTGAAGCTTCTGACGATCCTCCCGGAACAAGAAGGCATGCTGAACCTACGGCTGAATCTGCCGCTGTAGGAACGCAATTTGACGGAACATACACGATTCCCTCATCCGGAGACGAAATTGAACATGGACATGTGGAAGACAGTGAAGCTGCCAAGCAGGCTTCTGATGGTGAGGAGCATAAAGATGAGGACTGCTTTCGCATCCAGGTGTCCGCAAAGCACTTGATTCTGTCCTCTCCTGTGTTTAAAAAAACACTTACAGGTGGCTGGCAAGAAAGCTTTCTCCTACTCAAAAAAGGCTCAGTGGAGATTACTGTATTCGGTTGGGATCTTGAAGCCTTCATAATTTTGATGGACATATTTCATTGTCAGCCTCAAAATCTTCCCCGACAGGTGAGCCTCGAATTGCTTGCAAAAATAGGTATTTTAGCAGACTACTATGAATGTCAGGCGCTTGTCCGATATTTTGTGGACAGGTGGATCAACACTTTGAAAGAAAAATTCCCTGAAACTTATTCACGCGATTCGATGCTCTGGCTATGGGTATCATGGATATTCGCATTACCAACCGAGTTTGAAAAATCTACAGCAATGGCCATATCGCAGAGCAGCGGTCTAATTACAAGCCTTGGTTTGCCAATCCCAGGAAAAGCTATCAGTAGGGCCTCAGATATTATGATTTATAGGAAGCATATCATAACTTTTACGCAGATTATATAAACAGCCGCAGAGAGAAAGCGATTCTTGCTATTCTTTCTTCACTCAACAGCCATCGTGATGCGTTCCTAGACGGAAGCAGAGGGTGCTCTTTTGATTGCAGCTCAACCCTGTTTGGGGCTCTGACGAAGCATATGCATTCCAATGCTCTACTCTCTCTACAAACTGAGCCTCATTTTCCTGGCCTAAGTTACCATGGGCTCGAGGGGACAGTATGTTCTTTTAAGTCCCCACGATTGTGTTGTTATAATTGGGGTTATGCTGAATACTCGCGATATTCGGGGTACCATCCCACCCCCAAAGGTCGGGATTCATCCTCCCGTTCTCTCCTGATAAATTTGCCTGGTGATATCACAAAAGGATTGAGTTTCTTCGATTTGTCTTCGCCATAAACTCAGAAATGCTCTTGGCGACCCCTAATCAATTTGAAATTATCACATATACCTTTACTATTTGAATATTGAATAACTGTTTTACGCTATTTAGAAACACTTGGATATAAAACAAGGATCAGAGTAGTGTGGCCCTGCAGTCCTGAAAGGTGTGCCGCTATGTGACAGCTTGTGTAGAAACATCCAGTGACTCAGGTCCTCGGGAATCACCGGTTCTCGTAGTGGACCAAGCCATGGTTCTTGATATAAGGATATGCTGATGGATCACACTCAACCGATCAGGGTGATGCTGTATTTCGGAATTCCCTCTCTTAAACATTTACTCATGGATCCAGGCTCCTGAGCTGCAAGCACTATAGAATGCTAGTAGTAACCGGATAAGACCTACCCACTCTGAAGGTTAATGAAGCAAGAACTAACCTGATCAACCACTCCTATTTATTAGGAATAAGTATAAGTAGTCCTCTAGGGTCTCTGTAAAAAGGCTTTACATGATCTTGCAGGGACTAGAGATAAAGACTCTGGCTAATTATCAAGTAGCAACTTCTATCTCGTGTCCCGTAACAGACAATCACAACCAGGCTTCCTGGATATGGTTGGCATAGGGTCAATCTTGTATGTAAAATATATATAGCGGTCAAAGGAACATATTCACTCCAATTCAAGGTCAAAGCCACAAGCCCGCGCCACAAATTTGAATTCACGGTCATTGCGACAGACACTCAAGATGGAATATTCACTATCATACAATTTTTGGAATTCACCGTTCCCGGTTCGGTCATCCATGCTGTGTGCTTCATCAAATATACACGTAACGGCAGCCCTTATACCAGGGAGATCACCAGCTCGAGTAAGATAGTTGCGTGTCACGGGGGGCCACTCATTCCACTGCTCGACCGCTTGTAATATATTCTCAACAGAGGGAGCAAGATTGGACTGAAAGCAGTCACACACACGAGAAAATATATTTGTATACCCCTGACGAATCGATTTGTTCGTTTTAAAATGTTGTTGAACATCATAAGCGACATTTTCAAGCCGGGAATCATTCCATTCGACCCAGGTCTGACCATCATCAATCCCGTATGAGAGCATATCATATAGAATTTCCGCTTTAGTGAGCAAGGCCAGCTTCATCCGTGGCGAGAGGAATCCTCCAATACATTGACCGCAAGTGCATCCGTATTTTAGGTGAGAAACGGAAAGGTCCGGGCTGAGAGTGTCATCAAGCAAGGAGAGGCACTCTACCGCGGCAGCAGGATACCCCCGAAAGTCGTCTGAAACATCCAGATTTCCCATGTAGACCAGTCTTTTAGTTCGTATATCTTCGAGGAAGTCTTTGAGCACATCCAGAGGGGAATCGCCATTTATATCGCGCGCCGACTTCCATGAACTTGCCGCGTCGACATGCGCCAGGAGCCACCTTATGCTTTCCGGCTTCAGTCTGCGCGCAAGGATGTGCAGAAGAGTCTTGTGCGTGCGGTCCACTATAGTCAAGTTGATCTCATTTTCGGCAGTAACTTTCTTAAGGTACTCCATGCACTCGAGATCAGGAAGGGTAGTTGCAGCATGGTGCAGTGGAAATTCTTTTTGCATTGCTGACAAAGTCCTCTCTCCGAGCTGAATTTCTACCCCGTATGGGATGATATAATCTCCCATTCCTGTCTCCTCTTCCCAGTCGTCCAGAGGTTCCATCTGGGGATCAAAGTCCATGTCAGGGGCAATTGATTGTGCTCTATGGTTCGGATTGAACGAGTACGCAAAACATGGTGAGGAGCCGATGCGTCGAAATCCAAGAGATCTATAGAATGAAACGGCTGTGTTGCTTGCTTGAATATTGATTTCATTTTTTTGACGCTTCGACTTGCCGACATATTGAGGCTCAACATCTTTTGTAAGCCATCCAGGTATCACAAGCGCATGGACTGTGCTCAACTTCTGAAACCGCGTAACCGAGCCGAATTGCCGGGCTATGCGTCTGGGCGACGTATCCATTGGCTTTGCGCTGTTCATGCACTTCTCACCGACCACGAGGAGCTGTCTGACCATCGCGCGTCCTATACCCTTCCTCCGCCATTCCACATCCATAACATACACTTCTTCAATTAGGAGAAGTGGGCCGTCGTCAAGCTCGGATCCCCACACTCCCGTTCCTCGGTGCACGGGATGCGATTTGAACTTCTCCCTGAGAAAGCCATACCGGTTAAAAACCGTCCACGCTACATACCCTGTATCCTGGCTGTATTCATCCAATTTTTCCCAAAAGTTTTTAGTGATCATTGCCCGGTAAATGAATCGGGCAATGGCACGCCCGATCACCTTGCCTTTGTGGGTGCACTTGGCAGTTATATTATCTCGCCAGACATGCGGTGAGATCACAATCTCGATTTTGAGAGCCCGGTTTGTACCATCATTAGGGAGAAATTCGTTCTCAACCAAGGTAGTCTTGTATTTGCGATCAGGCATGAACTCATCATCAGAGGCGTCCTCGGAGCGATCGTATTCGCTGCTCTCAGTAGAGGTATAGTCTTCTGAAGTAGAGGAAATTTCGTCGGCTTCTTGTTTCCTTTTTGCCCCTGTAGTCACACGGTTGTTATCCATTGATTTTCACGATAACTTGGTTTTGGATGGGACTGATATTGCCGAGGCCGTACAACGCGACGACCGGGCGAACGGGGCGGGCTTTTCAAGAAATTAGGAAATCAGAAAAAGACCTTCGAATCGAAATTTGCCTTTTCTAGTATATTAATGAGCAGCTTCCTTCTTTATTGGGCACTGTTGTGAGCCTATTGAAAGTTAGAGTACTGCTAGGACTCAAGGTGTCGAGTAACACAGAGAATAGCAAGTTCTTGAATTTAAGGACAGATACAAAGCAAGTAATCCAAAAAGCAGAAGAGCATACCTATCGAGGGGGCAGGTCCATATACTTATACATCCTACAGCGAGGCATATATGTTTTTTCACGTATCTATCAGAGCAGATTTACAGTGGTGGCTGAGAGCCTGGCTGAGACTCCCTAGGCTCCCTGAGAGCCAAGAGGGGCTCAAAATTTAAATCTTGGACATTGTGGAGAGTTCTCTATTCTATGATTGGTAGGCTGACTCTGGGAACATCTGGCTGAGGCTCGCTGTGGACCAATCGGGAAATGTCCTCACACTTGGTACGTTTTAGCCACTGATTGGCCGCGTAGAAAAGAATTGAGGTCTATTTTGCGTATGGTCACCCTGAAAGGAGTTATCTCAACAAAACTATCCTTGTGATAATAACTGAACCTAGGCATATTTACCAAGACATCAGGGCCTGCATATTCGTAGATCCTACGACAAAATGTGCTTTAATAGCTGTTTATGTGGCAACTCGGTATAGAATTGTTAAGGCCAGGTTGAAAGAGCCTCGTTGAGATATAATGAGGAACAAAAAGGTTCGAATGTCTTACCCGCATCTTAGATGTGGGGAGTCCTTTAACGATTAACCATCTCGCTATGGCTTGCTGTGGATCAATTCGGGACCCACAGATGATAAGAAATGATTAGCCCCCACCCAGCAAAGGCCCCAAAATGCCGTCAGCAACTCAGTTCCCTTCCAGAGGGAAACAAAAAGCAGAAGGATGAAGATAAAAGAAAAGGTTACCGGAGAAGAATATATCTGTCTATATCTAATTCACGGGGGTAGACTAAAAATGCTATTGTGAAGCTTCCTGGTTCGCATTGGTCTCCAATACGATCCAGTAAAACCGGA